GGAATGTTTGCCTCCACCCACATCTCCCTCGAAGAACGAGGGATACATTACTAAATTATAGTACAATCATGCTCTTTTTTTTATGTAAATTAAGCTGTTGCCAACTGAAATCCCATCACCAAACCTTGTTATGTTACAGTGGAGTTTTCTTTGGAACAACGTGTTCTCCAGCTTATTCAGAGTAACCACAGCATTGTTTCAGGAAAGTGATTGAGTGATTGAAAGCGGTCGTAAAGGTTCACTCAGTAAAAAACGTGGTAGCTTATTACATTACAAGTCGCGGATACGGTGGATATTTTACAAGCAGCAGTGAACACACAAAGTGCAGATGTTGGTTTTTGCTATTTCATTAACAAGCCGCAACTGCTGATAACTGATAACGGGTCGCAGGTGGAAAACTCTGGAAATAAAAGACGAGTTCTGTGTCTAGTGTCGAGTTTATAAAACATACTGCTGATGGAGAAAGTCAGGAGAGCAGAGAGAAAGAGAGGCTCAACATTTATACCCAACCTAAGTATATAAATGAACATCTGTTACATTCAAGCTCTTTGCAAACAAGTTCACACAATGCTGATTAAGCATATCACTGTTAGTTACCTTGGACCTGTATTTCCTGGTATTTAGACACCAGTTTTACAATCTGGTGTCTGTGGCGACAAGTGAAACGTTTCTGATGCTCGAGATAAAAAAAAAAAAGAAACTCAGCATTCAGAGGAAGGACTACAGTCACAAAAAGGAAGCGACCAATGGCAAGGACAAACATGGATAACCATTGGCGTAGCTTTTCCTCGAAGGAGAGCGCCAAGAGAAGACCTGTTGGTTTGGAGGAGGAGGAGGCTATGTAGCGGTTACATTTGCTAAATAATGGATTATTCTCCTCAAATCGTGTAAATGTCTGTGTATTTTTGTAACTATTCTCTAGTGGTGAGGTTTAGGAGCATTGTGCGCATTCTCAAACTCATGAGTGAGCATTCTGGACATCGGCCAAAACAGAGTTTTTTGGTGTTAGCGGACTACATGTTATTAGCTGCAGTGTGCAATAGTACAGAGTTCAGAGTCAATAGGCAAGAGGCTCAGGAGTGCGAATGTGACAGCCGACTTAGACGAATTGATTACACGGTATATATAGCAAATGTACGGTAAGTCGCTTTGGATAAAAGCATCAGCTAAATGAGTAAATGTAATATAGGAAGCGGGATATTGGCTATTGAAGATAACTGCAAAAGCCGGCGAATGGTTCATTTTTTTATGAGGTTACAACCCGTTCACAATTAAGTATGAAAAAAACAACACATAGCCTCTTTAAATCAAAACAATCTGCACTGCTTGAGGAACGTTTTTTTGTGATTTGGGTGAACCAACCTGGTAATACCAATCTCAGTCTACACTAAGTCATCATTTTATGGAAGTGAGGCTAAAACGTCCACATTAGGGATAATTTTCCTCGTCTTTCTAACATCGGTCCAGTTATGCTTGGAAGCAGAACACAGGCACACACTTACATTTCAACAGACAACAGGAGGGATCTCTCTTTCTCTCTAGTCTAAACAGCCCAATCCTCAGATACTAAACAGACTCAACAGACCTGCTGCTGCTAGGACAAAAACAGAGAGAGAGAGACGGAAGGAGAGGGATTTACAAAAGATAAACTCTGCAAGAGGATTCCCTTCCTGGCTGATCTTAATCTGAATATGAAATTATACGGGACAGGGCGAAATTAGCCAAGCAGTAACCATGCCAACCAACACCTGAAACCATTCTCATCTCCACAGCAATCCTGTCTGTTTGGCCTTTTGAACAACCTGATATGAGCTTTAGTCTGCAGATCAGAAAATCATTCAAACGACGCTTTCCATAGATGCGACGACGGAACTGAATTCACAATCTGTTTGACATTAGAGACAATTGTAAAGTTACATTACAGATAGACAGGTTCTGAATCACTTCTAAATACAGCACAGTATTTTACAAACACAGACAGAAAAGGTCATTTTCTTTCTTTTCATTCATACATTTGAGTCATCCCACTCCACTGCACTCTACTGTCACAAGTGCTCTCTGGTTGGGAAATACATATCAACATGTAGGCCATGGCTGCCCTCAGCCACTCACACAAACAACGAAATAAATGAAGAGTAAAGCATGAAGGGTTTGAATCCTGGATGTGCTAGGAGATAATTCAGCACAATTTAGTGACTGCAAAGGGCGATTTCTGTCTCTGACACTTTAAAATGCTTCCACACTGCCGACAGGTTAACGTACACCAAGTGTTTTGTTTTGCTATTTTCGGCCAATTAATTTTCGTTGCCGACATTCGGTGCATGCCTACTTGGAAGCAAATCCTTTCACAGCAGTTTGTAGGCTTCCTGTCACATCTTAAAAACCTACAGCAAGTAGCCAGGGTTAAACCAAAAGTTATAAGCGATAAGCTCAAATCCTGCTTCGTGGTACAGGCCCCTGGAGGTTGCTGCTTGGCTGCAACTAACAATTATTTTCATATTTTCATTACTGATTAATCCTAAAATGGTGAAAAATCTCCATCACAAACCCAGATATTTTCTGTCTAAAACCCAAATAAAAAAGACATAAAATGAACACAAGTAAATCCTCACATTTGAGAAGCTAGAAGCAGTAAATATTTGGCATTCTTGCATGACAAGTTAAAATTGTGGATGATTCATTTTCTGTTTCTGACAAAACGTTTCAGCACTACCCACATCATATCTATAATCAGCTCCAACAACAATAGTAATGTGTGTCTGCCCTTTTAAGAAGAATTTGACTCCAACAATAAAGCATAAAGTGGTTTAATTTCCGGCAAACTATTATTTGGTAAGGCTATGAGTCAGTGTTTACAATGGTGTCATCTGTTTATGGATGCATCCTTTACAAATATACTCAAATAATAAACCACAGGGTTTTTTTGTTTTGCTTCTGTGCATAACTTACTGATGATACATAATAATAATCAAGCCTGTATCAACTTCAAGAAACATTTGACAGTTAAGAAGAAGCTTCTCCACGTGTGCACATACAAGACATCCTTATGGTCAAGGGAGCATAGTTGAGTAGGGATGGTCCCTACAAATATCCAGCAACTACTGAACAATCCCTAGCAATGATCAAAACAATTAAATATAACCACTGTCATCTGTCAGAGTCTAGTCAGTGTACTTGGTGTGACAGGTCTCCAATACAAGTCCAATGCGTTAAAGTTTTGAAAGATTATGTGACTTTATTTCTTATATTCTGGGAGATGTTTTTATTGTCCTCACCAACAGTGACATGACATATCCGCCCTTATTATATGGTTGTAGTTATCTAGATTAATTAACACACCTAACAGCAGGTTCATTTACTGTTTGTCTTCAGGGCGTGATTTTCAAGGTGAGTACATGAATGCAAAAGTTGACTTTTAAAAAGGTAAGTGGATGTTGGACCCCCCTGCAGTGTGCAAAACACTTTCCTTTCCCTCTTTCTCACCACAAGAACATGACAAACACACATCTTAAACATCACACCTTTTTCTCAAGTTGGTTCTCAAACTGAGGGGCGGGCTCTGCTGGGGGGGCTCGGAGGCACTGCAAGGGGGGAATGGCTGACTAAGGGCCAAATATGTAGTTGAACTAAGTTGACTGAACACGATTTATGTAGGGAATTTTAAAAAAAAAAATGCTATTGCTAACATGCTAAACTGAATAATTTCTTTTACATCCAATTCAATTTAGCTCCATTTTTATTTGTTGCTCCCCCAAAATTGTTGATAACTGATAAGACTTCAATCCGTTTACGTGTAGTTTTTTTTTTTTTTTCAATCCCGCATGGGGGACATGACAGGAAAGGTTTGAGAACCACTGAGTTAGATCAAGCAGCACCTAAACTGCTAAAAAGCAGATTTATTAAATAATAAAAATATTAAATGATAAAGTATGTAGAATACTGCAGTAATATGAAAAACATAAGGAACATTTATAGTACACCATATACCATCGGGAAGACAAATATTTGACTGTGTGATCACACACCGTATCCAGTTGTGTGTTTCTGACAGTGCCAACATACATCATTCAAAATATACATGAGGAAGCAATTGTATATGTTTTAACTTGAGTTAAAGTAAGAATTGTAATTTTTCAGTAGTTCATTGTTTCTTCCTGCTGAACATAAACATATCAAATTAGGGTCATGTGGGAAAACTGTAACTCCAGGTCAAAAGGTCATTGCTAGACTGACAGGAGGGCAAAAGTAAAGCTGAAACAGATCAATTGAGCCAGTTTACTGCCTTGCATCGTCACAATCACCTGCTGGAACAAATCTGTCAATTAACCATTTGACAGAAAATTAATCAATTCCAGTTGTGAGTTAAGATCAAAGAAAGTTTCTTTGATGTAATTCTAGATCAGATGGATGGATAACTTATAGTCACTGCTATTTTAATTTCCATAGTTGTCATAAGAGAAGCACATTTTTTAGTCACTTGTAGGTATTTATAGAGTTCCATGTCAGATCATTTAAATGCCAATACTTGTTTCCTTTTTTTCGGTTTCATCTCATTATAAATTGTCACATAAATTGCTCTGGTGAACTGTGTCATCCACCTGCCATTATTCCTATAAATAAATCATCGACTGACTGATTGACAAGATATAGAAATGAAAGAAAATAATCACTTGCTCAGCTGTCTTTTGTGGGCAGCTCTTCCAGTATATTGTCTGTCTGTCAAGCGGGACAGGCTGGTGGGTTTTTAAAAACACCTACCAGGGCAAAACCACTAACAGGCTCGGCTCTGTATTGGAACAGGTGTTTGCTGTAGCCATGGCACTGAGCCAGGGAAAGTTATGTTGTGCAGCTATAGGCTACACACACATACACACCTTATTTCTTTATGCAAATAAGGGTAGTAGTGATGTACAAGCAGGCGTCGTGCAAACGGGACACACATGCACGCGCGCGCACACACACACACACACACAGCTGGTGAAAGAGGAAGATGCACTAACCGTCGACTTGATGGGGACATACAGCACTGGTCTGTCCGATGACCCGTTCTTGGCGTCCTGCAGCGTCCCGACCTGGAAGCCCTTGGACTTGACCCAGAATTTAAATTTGGCGTTGATGTGGTTGTTGCCTTTCTCATGCAGGAACACCCCGTTGCTGTTCTCCTCGTCCCCCTGGAGCAGGGTCTGGAGGATTTTGTTGTATTTACGCCGGGTCACGGTCTTGGTCTTGCCGGAGTCCCCGTACGTCCGCAGACACCAGTCCTGAAATTCTCCGAACATCTCCGCCCCTCCGCCCGCCCCGCTGCTGGGACTCCGGCTCCTCGGCTGGTTCTGGTGGTTGGTGGTGGTGGTGGTGGTGGTGGAGGTTGTCACCGTGTCCTCCACAGTGTTGACTTTTCTCGTTGTCATGATGAAAAACGAGGTACACTTTGTTTTAAGAAGAGAGAGAGAGAGAGTCCCTTCAAAAGACCCACTTTGTTGTCCGCTAAGAATCGTCAGGCTCGGGTTCGGTTGGACTAGCAACCGTAGCCGAAACCACAGGAGCAACGGCGGCTCTCTGCCTTTTTCACAAGGGGTCGAAATCCGTTCAAACCAACAAATCTGGTGTGTGTGTGTGTTGGGGGAGAAAAAAAAATCTTCACATTTCCCCTTAACCTCTGAAACGATCAGTTCAACCCTTTAAAATGTCTCCACTCACCAAAGAAAGAACACGAACCTCGTTTCTTTTTTAATTAACGTCTCAAAATTAGCCGTTTGGGTCCAACCTCCTTCCTCCTCGCGTCTATTACGCACCAATGGATAGCTGCGAGGAGACCGAAAGAGTGTGGGGGGGGGGGGGGGGGATCAGCGCTCACTTGGGATGCCGAAGCGAACAAATGTAACTCCAAACCACCGGCCCCCTCCCTCGTTGGGATGTAATTTCGCCAGGAACAGTGCCGCAGAAGAAGGGACCGTGAGGCACACGGGCCGGACGGACGGTGCAGATTTGGAGCGATTTGCCCTCCTCAGACACACCTGTTAGAAGCGTGGGTCGGTCGGCCTGTCCCGTGGGGGATGTCGGTCACCGCCTCCCCTTTTCTATCACCTCCTCTTCCTCCTCCGAGAGAGAAACACGAAAGCTGATGCGGATATCTATATCTTAGCCTTATTTATTTTATTTCTTTCTTATTTTTCTTAAACCAAGATATTAAAAGACGGGTTTCTCCTGGTTTGGCTGCCGGGTCTCCATCACTGTTGAGCCGAAGGAGCGCACGGTTTACAAAAAGAAACGACACGTCCTGAAATTAGCGGAATGATCTGCCCATTGTCAGCGCTTGGTTAATTATTGGGAGATATTCGCATTCATATTCACATCTCCGCCTTCCGTTCTTGCTTTGCTCTTTGTCAGATTTTCTGTCTCTTCCTCATCCGGACTCGGGCTGATGGGAGACAGCAGGACACCTGTTTGAATCCTGTTCGTCTTTCTTTCCTCTGGCACAGTTAAAGCGCGACGCTACGCCTCATTTCCATGCTCCTCACACGATTAGGGCCGGTGATAATAGCCTGTACGATATCGTATTCCCAACCGCAACAGAAGCTTTAATCCTAAACACATAGCCTGCAAACACACTGCTGCGACACAGCAGCAGCCCAGCCTGTTAACCCGGGCTGAGTTCACGGGACATGCACGCCGCAGCTCGAGTTTAAAAAGCAGGAAGTGCCCAAAAAAAGACCAAAAACGCGCAGCGCACTGCTGCCAAACGGTCCCGTAGATATCAAAATGGGGATGTAACGCAAACTGAAGTAAGAATAGGCTACAAGATGTCTAAACAACTGATTTACAGTAAAAAAAATTTTTTTTTTTTAAAGTTCCCCATATAACATGATTGTGTCTGCAGAAGGTCTGCACAATAACATCTGAGCCTTTGTTCCATGTCATCCACATATTTAGTTGATTAAAGAGGACATTTCTTTAGGTGACAGTGAGAAAATCTGATAAATAAAAACAAGTCTTGTATGAAAATAGCCTGATTTGTTTGTTTGTCTGTGCTCAGCTGAAGCAACCATTCTTGGATTGGGGAGACATCTTCTTTAATAAACTGTAAAAATAAATGAATAATATGAGAAACAGAAAGGGTCATCAGCCAGTTGAAGACACTCATGTTGATAAGTGAACGTTAACTGCCAGCCCAGACTGACAAACTCACATTCCTTATTCTGCATAAGTTTTTTTCTCTCATATTTGTGTACTCCACCTGTGCACAGTTTTATTCATGCCAATGTACAAGGTGATTTTTAATTTCTCATTGGAAACCATATGTGCAGTTTGTTTGTGTCTCTTTCTGCCTTTCTTTTTCCTTTTTGCTTTTATCTGTTTTTCTTATTTAATATGTGAATTGAAGCCCAAAATGCCACTTGTTATCTTTTATCTCTCTGGAAATTCAATAAATGTACAGTACTGTGCAGGGTATGGAAAAAATGCTGTAAAGTAAGAATGCTTTCAAAAATAGACCTGTTAATAGATTGAATTGATCAATTCGCAAAATGCAAAGTGAATAAACAGACAAATCTGACCGCCCTTTGCCTTCAAAACAGCATCAATTCTTTTACATACACTTGTATATATTGAATTTTGTAGGCATATTGTCAGGTGTATGATTAAACAGTTATACCAAACAGGTGCTAATGATCATAAATTCAATATACACAATCATTAAAACAAACAGAAACAGCTGTGTAGGAGGAAAAAAACGGGTTGAAGAAGAGCCAAACTCAGCTAACGAGGTAAAGCAAGACTGAGAACAGCAACAAGACACAAGGTAATTATACTGCACCAGCAAGGTCTTTCGCAAGCAGAGAACATGCGTTTCCAAATGTGCTTTCCAGGCTCTTTGGAAGAAGCACAAAGAAACGGGCAAAGCTGAGGACCGCAGACGCAGTGTTCAGTTAAAGAAACATCCTGCAACAGATGAAAGACACATCGTGCTTACTTCCCTTCACAATCGGAAGATGTGCCATCAGTTTAGGAATTAGCAGAAGAGCGGGACCCTGGTACACCAATCTACTGTCTGAAGAAGCCTGGTTAGAAGTGGCCTTCATGGAAGACTTGCAGCCAAAAAGCCTCCGACATGGAAATAAGTGACTCAGCATAAAAACACAGGAACTGGGGTGCAGAAAAATGGCAGCAAGTGCTCTAGACTGATGAGTAAAATTCTGTAATATTTGTCTGCAGCAGAAGGCAGGTTGTTCAACTAAGGGCTGGAGAGCGGTACAAGAATGAGGGTCTGGAGACAACAGTGAAGCATGGTGGAGGGTCCCTTGCAAGTTTAAAGCTGCATTTCTGCAAATGGAGTTGGGGATTTGGTCAGAATTACTGGTGTCCTCAGTACTGAGAAGTACAGGCAGATACTTATCCATCAGGCAGCACCATCAGAGAGGCATCTGATTGGCCTGATCTTAACATCATTGAGTCTCTCTGGGATTACATGAAGAGAGAGAAGCAACTGAGGATGTCTAATCCACAGACTTCACAGCGCAGTCTGTGGGGAGTTCTCCAAGATGTTTGGGCCAAGCTACCTGTCCAGTTCCTTCAAAACAGGATGTGCAAGTGTACCTAGAAGAAATGATGCTATTTGAAGGCAAAGGGTGGTCACACCAAATATTGAATTGATCTTCAGTTTTCTGACTTTGCATTTTGTTAATTGCAAATAAAACGTATTAACAGGTCTGTTTTTTGAAAGCATCTTACTTGACAGCATTTTCCCACCCACCTCCCTAAAACCTAAAAACTTAAATCTACAATCCCTATTGTTAAAGGCCACAAACCAAGCCAGAAACCTTGGTGTACTTGCAGATCTAAATTTTAACATCCATATTAAAGACAACGACAAAATAATAATGCTAATATTCAAAGATATGTTTGAGAAAGACTTCTTTCTTTCACTTTTATCTTCAGTAGATTCAACTACTGTAATGCCGTCTTAAAAAATTCTCTCTAAAAACTGGATCACAACGCTGCCGATTCCTCACTAAGACTAGGAGAGTGGTTCAGTCCGGTTCTCAGACCTTTGGCTTTCTATAAGTCAAATAATTCACTTTATAATACTACCTTTGGTTTATAAAGACACTGAATGGTTTAGGGCCAAAATAGATTTATCTTGGGCTGCAAAGGTTGTCTGGGACAGATGTGCTTTCTCACAGAAAACAAGGTCTGCTGAGGCTTTAAACTTTTTGGTTAAATAACTTACTGCCTTTTCCTGAACTAAATGTGTGGCTATTTATTAATGTCTCTAGTTGCACTGTGTTTGTTTATTCCATTTATTTCTATCTCCTATTTCATTACATTTGTTTTGAATGTCATTTGTATGCGTCTCTAGCCATTTAAAGTCTTATGTAAAGCACTTTGAATGGCTTTATTGTTAAAAGGTGCTATACAAACAAACCTGCTTTACCTATTATTTTAAAACACAATAAAACAAAACCAATAAAGACCAGTCCTCTGCAGCACCCATGATATCAGATTTTATTATACTAACACTTTAGAAATGTCAGTAATAAGACCTTTAATGGGAGATTTTATCCCAGAAGTGCCTTGAAGCACTGAGGCCATGACAGGAGTCAGCTCAAGAGTCATACATACATACATGTCAGCCTTTCATTAGTGTTCTGCTTTTGTATATTTGTATATTTATTTGAAATGAAAGACAACAAAAGCAACAGAGAAAAGGATCCTCTGATTGTAGCATCCACACCGAGGAAAACATATTGCGCAGCTGTTGGTTTAAATAGCAAAAACTGAGCCTCGTATCTTCCCTTGTTTCATTTTAAATACTGTATGTGCTTAAGCTAAAAACTGTCTTAGAAAAGATAGAGGACGATCCCCAGCTGAGGCGAGTGACTGTCATCTAGCCTTGATCCAACCGTCAGATGCAACCTTGAAATCACTGGAGCAAGCCGAGATACAAGCAGGCCAGTAACCCGCTGTAGAAACAGCTACAGTGCACACATCAGAATAAGGAAGCTGCCACTAAACTGGGCTGCTGAAAACACTCCCCCAACACAGCATCCTCTACGGCAGCCTTAAAGAGCAACACCACTCTGTCTTACAGTTCACATCGTGTTGCTGAGCCGGTTTGTTCAGCCTGATGCTTATTTATGGAAAGAAGTTTATGCTCTTATGAATTCACAGTGAGCATCCTGGAAAGCGCTGGAAGATGAATGGAAGTTAAAGTGGTGTCTTTTTCAAAGTGACGTTCTTAAAATACTAATATTAGTACATTATTTTGCACATATTATTGTATCTAAGTGTTCACCTACCACTAACAGACGAGACATGATATGGTATTCTTCTTCAATAACGCTGTCAGTCATATTGCTTCTGTATAAGCTATAATACATAAGGGTAATATCCTCTGATAACTACGACGAGAGAAACTGTCCAGCTGTTCAACCTGCTGCTGTTTCACTGACGCACACTTCTTGTCACGGCAGTAACAAATCAAAATTGGAAAGGTTAGACACCTTGAAATGAATCTAAATGAAAGCAACTTCAGAATCTATCATTTTAACTTCCGTACCAAATGCCAACAAGGAAAAAAATACCTTTACAATATGGGCTGATAACCAACAACATGCAGTTTAATGAACTTTTTTATTGCCTAACTACACTACTAACCAGCTATCCCTCTTCTCTTGAGTAAAATATAAAAGCTGTGGGCAATACACATAGTGAGAGACAAGCTGTCGTCACAAACACTGATCTGTCAGTATCGGTACTATCCGAGTCTGAAAATCTTCTTTCCTTGATGCGTCTCAGTCCTTTTGTAGGGTTTTTACAAACCACGTTATCATCTGACTTTCTGCCTCGAGTCCTCTTCATCTACTAGAGTTGGAGCCTCTCCCGTCTGGAAGGCAATACTTTTATCTCTCATGCAATTAAACCATTCAATTCTCGTAATGAGCCAGCTGATGGTGAGTCTCCCATTTAAATATCGGTCGGCGATGAAGGTGATGGTGTTTTAACCGCTGATGTGTGCTCCAGGTTATGTATTATACTGTCACTGTGTTTCACCTGGCTGAAATACAAATTCCCCCCTGGTTGACAATAAAGTGAAAGTTGTTAATTGAAAAAAAAAAAAAGATGTTTGGACTGAGCATGAAATTACTTTCTCAAATGGACATTTTCTCGAAGAGCTGTCAGACCTCAAAACAAATTCATAAAACTATAGATTCGGCAGACATCTTCGTCCAGAGTGACCTAAATTATTCACATACACATACATTTAGGGAGCAATTTGAGCGCCAGTGTCATGCTTTAAAACACTTCAACATGTGGGCAGGAAGAGCCAGGAACCAAACCACCAATTACTGGCCAACCTGAACCCACTCTACCACCTGAGCTACATCCACCCCTATCATCAGCCAGTCAGAGTTATTTACTTTGTCTTGGAGCAGTTACTGAGTGGAAGAGATTGCAAGGAGTTGCATCTGCACATGCTTTAACACTCATAAATACACAAGTGTTTATCTCTGTATCAGTGTAAATGTGAGTATGTCTATTGCTGTGTTCGGTAACCTTGATTATGTGCAAGCAGACGAGGAGAACAGTAGCTTCCCTCTGAGGGATGAGACTTCTAGTGATCTTCTTTCAAAGCAGAACTGGCACAGACACTCCTGGAAGGAATAAAACAACAACAATAATTCTTATGTTACCAGACACATTTCTTACACAAATACAGAGTGCTGTAGCTTAACTCAACTCTTGACTTCTCTGAGTGAGACAGCATAAATATTTAAAAGAAGATTTACTCTGACTCTCCAAAATTAGTCACCATAACTGTGTGACTT